CGCTTTTAAAGGTTTCATTAGAATAGAAGAAAAAATTAATTACAATTTATGACGAAATAACGGACTGGCACGAATCAGAATTTTTGATAAAGCATTGACAAAAATTTTTGGACCTATTTGGTAATTATAAAGAAACGCCTGGGACGATCGTCACAAAACTGATCAAATACGCACAAGCACATACATTCTCTAATTTTGGTGTCAAACGATTCAGACTGGACTGAAATTAATTTATAGTAATTCAATATTGGAAGACATATTTGTAATTTTGAAACCATATTCTTCTAAAACCTAAATAATGTCAGATATTTATATTTGTAAGTCATGTTTCATTACATGTGAATTGTTTAAAAAATTCACTGAATAAAGTAAAATAAATATTTCAGAAATTATTCAATATTTTTAGTATGTATGATAAATAAGTCATTATTATATATACAATTAAATTTGTAAAAGCAATTTTATGGCACAAATAGAAAATAAAAAAAAAACTAGCAGGAATAAGATCAAATACTGAAGACTAGTTTCTAGTATCGATACAAATAATTTCCTCTGAATTTATATCATTTTCCTCCGACATACGTTTAACATTTAACAATAAAAGTAAAATACCGCAAAGTCAGAACCTTTACGAATCGTTTTTCGTGAAAAGCTCATGCTTTTCATATTTTTCCGCATTTCATATTTTGTCTGAAAGTAAGAAAAGCGATTTATGAAAAATGTATTCGCCTCCGAAAATGGGGTATATGCTCTATGAAGTCGATTGGCATCAGTATGTGGCTTATCAGTTGATAGAAAATATAGTACAGGAATACGAAGTATAGTAAAAATTTTATATAAACCAAATGGAAATAAAAAAGTAGAAAAAATTATGTTTTCTCGACGTTTCAAGTCATACTAAATCGTTTGACACCAACATTAGTAAAAGTATGTGAGCCGAAATTTGAGCTTTTGACGACGTTTTCTCAAAAACGGACGAACCGATTCCGAAAACTCAAACTCGATAAGGATCGCGTGACAATCGGACAACCCGTTTCTTTATAATTATCCAAAAATGCTAAAACGATTTTAAAAGTAAAAAACTGATCGAAAGATATGTGGGCCAAAATTTGACCTTCCATCAAAGTTTTTTCAAAAACTGTTGCAATAATGAGACATGCTGACATGTATTCAGTGGTGTTGTCGAGCCGGAACGCGCCGGAACGTCGTTCCGGCAAATCATTTTTAAGCCGGAACGCATTCCGGCAAAAAAATTGTAAAAATCGCCGTATACAGAAAATGATTCAATAAAAGAATTTTATAAAAAAATATAATCGAACTAATTTTTATTAAATGTTCCTATTATTGTAATAAACATACATATATGTTCACAAAATGGGTTTTGTAATTATTTTTGTTCCTTTCCTTTTCGAACGGAACCAGAACAAACATGAAAACCGGTTTTTGAACCGGTTTTTAAATTTTAGCGTTCCGGCAAAAAATATTAGCACAACGCCACTGCATGCATTGATTGGTTTTGCGCGACTATCAGTCAAGCCATTTCTTTACAAACAGCAGATAAATAAATGTAAAAAAATATCAAAAATCGTAAATCGAATAGAAAAGTTGGAAATCGCACTGATTAGTTTTTGGTAAAAATCGGCCGGGCCTTTTCTTTGAAAATAATTGTTGGTTTTTTAAATTCTTAATTATATAATTGATCTACTATGCAATGAATTGTTGCATAGTAACGAAGTTTATCCTAAAGTTTTATTATTAAAATTATATTATATTATTAATATTATAGGCCTAAATAATTTAATAAAAATAAAATTTTAAATAATTGACGTGCGATTATAGGACATAAAAATAATGCGCATATAATATATCATCAGTAGGAAAATGAATTGATTAGTTTTTAATAAAACGCAAAATATTTATGTTAAAAATATAGAAGTTGAAAATTTTATTGTCACAATTTACAAAGTAAATCTAAATTCTTATGGATTCAGTCGATTAATTACACCTAGCTCCTGTTCATGCAACCAGAGAAAGTTTATGCTACATTTTTGAAAGCAAAATACCACTTACACCTAGTTCTATTATCGGTTATTCTGTTATTGTACACATATTATATAAATAAAACACAATATTATTCCTTGCTTACTGCTTGTTCAAGAGCCTCCACAGTACATAATACATTGCACTATTTTGCAAATGTAAAAGAAACTGTCTATTATTGACCAGAATATGGCTTGAAATATGATATTTTAACTAATTGCACAATTTTAAACTGAGAAAATAATGTTTATTCAATTTAATTCACTATTTTAACCCCTTAATTAACTTCCCGTAGGGCAAGTTATAGTAATGGCAAAAAAAATCGCAAATGAAAATTTTTATATATATTTACGTTTCAAAGGTTTCTGAATATTTTGGCATACCTTAGAAAAAATGGATGTATGTGTGTGTAAGTGCGTATGTGTGTGCCCGTGCGGATACAAATTTTTGTCGACGATTTCGGAAACACCGATCAACCGATTTAAATATTTCAAAAAACATTCGATTCATACTGATAAGGAGACGTGCTGATTAGTTTTTGGCGGAGGCAGGTCTAGCCGTTCCAAAGATACGGGCAAAAAGTGCCAAAAATTATAGTTTAGTTTTTGAGAGAACGGAGCGTCCGATTTATATTGATTAAACAAAGAACTGTTAAAATTTTTGGAATGGCAGGTCTAACGGTTATGGATTCTCAATATTTTTTTTTTAATGTAATTAGGCGGTAAAACGTTCATATGCATGTCAAATTATCAGATATTTTATAGAGATTTTATTAATGTGTACACATTTTGTGTCAATTTTTTTGGGTTCCGTACCAAGATTTTTAATTTTGAAGTTTATGTATATAATTCAAACAAATGTCCTCGACATTTTCGACAGTGTAGAATAACCGATTTGTATTATTGAACAAACATTCGGTACTCCATGGCGAGGCGTTTTTGCAAAAAGCACATCCTGCCGTTCCGCAGGTATAGAGCGCAAAGGGTGCAAAAATGGTCATGCAGTTTTCTTGTGTAGACGGTGTGCAAAAATGGTTTTACAAAAAATTTCGTTGTTTTGAGAATTTTCAAAAAAAAAAAAATTTCAGAAAACTTAAATTTTTGAAATTTTTCATCATTTAAAAAAAAATCTAAATTTCGAAAAATTTGAAAAACATCAAAATTTAAAAAGAACAATTTCTTACAAAAATTTGAGAATATTTCGAAATTGAAAAAAAATCAAAATTCAAAAATTTCCCAATTCTCAAAAATTAAAAAAAACGATTTTTTTTAAATTTCAAAATTATCAAAAAAATCAAATTTAAAAATAAATTAAAGAAATTTCTTGTAAGCATGCACATAAGTTGTTTGTAGAATACGCTCGTCGCCCAATAAGCACATATAAATTTACAGTATGTATTTATAATAAATAGTCTATTTGAAATTATTTAAAACAATTATTGATTAATTTCATTCCTCGAATTTTTAATTACGATACGGGAAGTTCCAGCAATTTGCCTTAAGGCACGATGCCACGCGCCCCACTAGTTTACGATTTAGATTCGAAAATGTTGGCCCAAAGTTGTACAAGCTGGCGCAGCGTTCGTGACTATTTTCCTACACAGTATCACAAAAATAAAATTAATTTTGTGTTTCATAGTTTCTTATAAATTAATATTTTGTTATTCTTGCCATCACCGTACCGGGCCATGCCCGTAATGCGTAATATTTGCTTCTGGCCCGATTATCGTTCGCGAGCCATGCCCGTAATATTTACGTTTGTCCTAGCCTTCGTAAGCGGGCTCTGATCGCCATTGTAGGTTAAAGGGTTAAAAGTAAGTCAAGATTTCTAGATATTGAAATATTCAGATAAATATTGAAATGAGATCCATTGCAATAATCGATATTTACAATTTATATAAAACTAAAAATATACTGAAGCAGCTAATAACATGTTCCAGTAACAGAAGAAAAATATTTTGGTTTGGAGCGCCTTTGCCCCAGAGTCTAACAATTCTTATTTACCTATCACCTATCATACTGTAAACAGGCAGAAAATTGCCAAAATGACAAAATTATTCTGATAATATAATACAGTTTTCTGGAGTTAATCATTAATAAACTTGTTATGTGCAATATGGACATACCTATTACTTGATCCAGCATTTTTACAAGCACAAAACATTTATAAGTTCGTGTTTTAAAATTAGGTGTTGGAACATTTGATGGTACTCAAATAACACTGATAAAATGAATATAAATCATTCCATGTAAACATTCATAATACAATATTATAAAATTGGATGTCTAGTGCCACCGCCATTCGCACTTTTTTAATATAATACCATCATTACTATCCACTGTGAATTACAAAATAATTATATTCTCACCAACCACAAATAAAACTGAAATGTTCTAAACAATTTAACTTTAGCCTTGCATTCCAACTGAAAGTAATACATAGAATGCATATTATTTCATTGTCCAAGACAGAATGTATCCCAAAAGTATACCAATATGAATGAAGTTAAATTGCTAAGGTTGTATTAGAATTCCATTTAATGCCACCTTAAAAATTACAATATTTAAATTTGGGGCATTGGTAAATTTTGTCAATAGTATTTCTTCCTAAATTGCACATGCTCACAGTTCATTTTACTTTTTTGAGAAATTGAACTGCATCATACAATAAGATTCACACATACACATGTATTATGTATATATAAAGTATGCATATAATATGCATGTAATTCAAATAAATAGAAATGAGTACCAGTTAAACATTTTACTTCAGATATTTTTTTAGCTTTTATCCTTATGGGATCGTATTTAGAAAAAATAAGTTTACATTTTTAAATGTGTAAGCCCAAAAATATTTAATAATGAAATGTTTTTACTTATAAAAACATTTCCTAGCAATTTAAACGCATTCTATTACAATAAATATTTATTATAATTGTAATATGTTACAAAATAAGAATCCTTTATTTTTCAGAGTATTTCAGATTAAATTAAACACATTCTATTATAACAGATATTTATTATAATAATATGTTACAAAATAAGCATCCTTATCCAAACTGCCACTCATCACGATTTATGATAGCTGAAACAAAAATATTCATCAGAAATGCAATAAATCGAAAATTAAGTTTTAGTCAAAAAAAGTGGATGCAGCCAGGCATAGATAATAAAATACCGGTATTTCATTTATATCGGTAGTAAATATTAGATCAACAGCAAGAATATGTTCGAGACATTGACAACTGACTTCTTAGTCACGAGCGACAAATCAGAATACTTAAATGGAGCTTGTTTAGCAAAGCATTGCATTTTTATTTCAACTAAAATCAAAATATTCTATGTAAAACTGTTATTCATAATAAGTGCAAAAAGAATATCCTAGCCACTGGATAATCAATTAAAACGCTATCAAAAATTAACCACTTTAACTCATTCGAGTATTCATAATTGATTTAAAAATAAGTAAAGTTTTTTAATGTTCAAACCCTGTACATTAAGGTTTTTTATTTTGTTTAGATTATATATTAAATTTGCGAATTAATTACTATATATGGGAATGTGGGCACTAATGACACAATTAAGATAAAAATTTTAAGGTTAAGAACTGTTTTACCTTCTTGAATCCAATGTCGTTGGCATATTCCCTGAAGCATTGGCGGCATATATTTAATCCATATTTACGAATTAAACCGTGCCTGTTGGAACAGGATCGACTAAAAGGAAAAGCATAATGTTAAACGTCAGATGGAAAAAACCGCGTGGCTTAGTAATCCTACTAATAATTACAAAATAAATACGTTTACACATCATTATTGAGCCTACTCACCAAGAGCGTGATCCCTGGCCGTATTTACGGGGATGAGAGTACCAAATATTGTTAAAACCCATCACGAATAGTTAGAATATCAAATTCACAACACCGTGTAAAATTGCTCAGAGCAAAGGCGATCACAAAAAGGTAGCCATTAATACGATATCCGCATGGCAGACGATAAGTATTACCACTGCACAGAAAATGTCACACCTGAAGTTGCTCACACCGTTTTTGTACGAAATTCAAATTTTGCTCTACTTTAGTAGGCGCTTTTTTTCAATACACAAAATGCTTCGAATTAATTAGGTATATTTAGGCCTTTGCCTTTCAAAAACTATCCTATATTTGTAAATAAGCGATAAAATGCATACGAACTGAAATTTAGTAACCTTTAAAACAGTCACGGTAAAAGTTTGATATTTTGGCGCAACTGAAAACTCCAAAGTAAGTATACTGAATTTTTATAATTAAACTTCGGAATTTCTAGCAAAACCAAACTTTTTTCCGAAAGTTAAATATAAATAGATTTTTGATAAGGTCATTGAAAAATGAGATTTTTTATTCAGTATTTTACAATTTTATTTTAAGCTTGCGTTCATCCAATTTTTAAGTTCAGCATTTGAATTTTGAATCGTTTAAATAAACGCAACATCAGTACTTTAACATTTGCATAAAAGACATTTAAATCAATGCATAATTAATTGTACAAAGTGTTTTTATATGAATATGTGGATTTTTTGCACAAAGATTTGTAAGAAGTTATTTTTAATCCCAAAAAAATTCGAATTGCAAAAATGTCAATTCAATATATGCATGTATTCACTTTTTTTTCTTTTCAATTTCAATTTTGGTTAAACTGCTAACAAAACATCACTACTATCACACAGTGATACTAGAAGTTTTGATTAAATTGTAATAAAAAATAATGATAGTATTTTCCATTCAATGTTATCCACTCATGTAATTTTAATAAACATTAATGCACTAAAATTGTTATTTGAGACAAATGGAAACATGAACATTTCATTAATTCTATAATTTATTAAAAACAATTAAACTTAACTATAGCTAATTCTACAAATAAATTTACAATTTCAACAACTTTACAACATCTTAATTTATGAAGATTAAAGTATTAACAAATATGAAATAGTAGCTTTTAAAAATTTGTTTCCATTCAACAAACACTAATTAAGTAAAATATCAAGTTTTTATTGCAAGAATGTTAAAATATAGTAAGTAGAAGCAAGAGTTTGTTAACATTACACAAAGTTAGTAACAACCAATCATAATTTTATCAAACCGGAGTTCCAACATTAAAGAAAGCAGCAACATTATATAGTTGACTTTTACTATCCGTTTCCGGATGATCTGAAAATAATACACACAATAGTATATATTAAAAAAAAATTACAGTAATAGAACAATTTATTCTGAATTATATTTACCTAGATTTTTTGTCTGCACTAAGTGTGGAGGAAACATACTGCTTATATTAAAGCTATATTGTGTAGTGATTTTTCGTGTACTTCTTTCAGTTGAAAATTTAACATGCACCGATTCTGGATCATTTGGATTTCTATTGATGTAAAATATGTTAAAAATATAAAAAACATTATTTATAATATATTAGTTAATATATAAAAGAAGAAGTTAATATATAAAAATAAATTTTGAAAATACTAACCTTATAATTGATTTAGCATATTTAGTTTGTAATGGAATGTTAATAGTTTGTTCAACATTTTTTTGCAAATCCTTTAGAGATTGTGGAGGCTTGTAGTCAGGATCTTTTTCATTTAAGACAGTTTCCATTAAGCTAGAGCACATCTCAAGAAGATTACCTAGAATGGATAAGAACACAAACATCAAATACATTATAAGAAATAAGTTACAAATTGATAAAGGATAAATGGGAAATTACTCATTTCAGATTTTGAAGGTTTCTCAATGTTGATTAAAGCTTCCAGAACCACATGAACTCTTGCTAATATTTTAAATTTATGGGTGTATTCTTTTTCATCAAATCTGCAAAAAAATATGTAATTATTATTATTATATTAAAGGTGTTTAAAGTAACTTCTGAAATTTGTCATAAAATTGCTTCTTTTGTTAATTACATAGAATTCAATTAAATTTGAAATTCACTGTTATCAATTAGTTTTTAAATTCATGAAATCAGTACAGCTTTTTTCGAGAAACCCATTGATTTATCATCGCTTTTACACAAAAACATTTTCCGATTTTGTATACAATGATTCAGAATAGCTTGAGAAGTAAATTTAAAAATAACATATCCATATCCTAGTAACAACAATCTGTATTTTCAAAAAATTAACAAACCAAAATTATTCCGGATTTTTTATCTCTTTTTTAAATTGTTTGTTATTACAATATTCTCGCTAAAATGAAGTTTACTCGAATAATTTATAACTGCTTTTTCTTTTTCAAATTTCAAAAACTAGGATCCATGTGTCAATAATGTGCCTGCTAACAATGTGTTCAAACAGAATAAATACATATTTACCTAGAGTTTTCAAAAACTATTGCATCAATAGAACTATTAAAAACTTTTTGCTTTGCTTGATTTGGATGAATAGTTAATCTAGGTTTCATCATACTGTATGCAATGTTCGATGATGTTTCTTTTGGGCTGAAAAAGTATATTAATGTTACATGTATTTATTTATATTGTATATATTTTTATAGTATGAGTTGGTGCTGATTACTTGGTATTATAATATATTTACTTCAGACATAAATTTGCAATGTGACTGAAGAGTTATAAATACACATACTTACATTTCATAGAAAGGTAGTTTATTATGATAGAGTTTATATGTCTCAAAGAAATAAATATAATCCTTGCACAATTTCTCAACTCCAGCCTCCAGTAGGAGTTCAAGAGGTTGTAAACCAGATAAATGTGGGATGGCAGCTCTATGATGAAATACATCATAAACTAGGCTTTCTAATCGTGTATTTGTATTTTCTTCAGTCTTAAAATAATTAAATGTGTTGTTTATAATTATAATGTTAATGTCAATAATCGATATGAAAATCACATAGCTATAAATCAAATTATACTATTTAATTTGTATAGAATTTATACAACAAAAGCTGCATGATAATTTGTTATATTGCTTACTACAAGAATAAATTACAGAAAGTATATGATTAAAAACTATTAATGCTCACAAAATCTTCTTGGATAATATACTGCAACAACAATGCTTTATTGTAATAAAAATTTAATGTAATCATCTAAATGACTATTGCTTCCACTTATGATTATAGTACAGAAATTCAAAGCAGAAATATTGATACTTAATATCCAATGTAATAAGCATAGTCAAAAATAAGTACACTTTTTTTTTATTAATAGTTACCTGTATATTAACTTTTCCATGAGCTATTGTACTGAAAATTATATTGAAGCATTTGACTAATTGTGAATAACAAGATACATCTGAAAATATTTAAAATTTTAGAAAAGATCAACACATTTAATATGTGTAAAATTCCACATCAAATCCAAATATGTCAAAATTTAGTTAATGCAAACAGTTATCCATATTTAATATGAATTACCTTTTAGAATGGTCCAAATTTTATCACAAAAACTAAGATGTAGCCGGCCATTAAATACAATTCGATTAAAACTTTGGATTTCTTCTGCTGGTTCTATGTCATAATCATGATCTTGATGCAACATTTCTTGTAACTTTTCCTCGACTGGTACATATAAATCAGGATCACTACAATTCAAAATAAAATTGATATGTGTGACTGTAATTAATTTTATAATCATTTTATTTATCTGAGTTATATATTCTAATAATACATTAGTTTTTATTCAAATAGTGGAATCAATATGTAATGATAAGATTGATCTGGTATATGAAGACAAAATAAATTTTTAATAATAAAGTTTCATATTTTTTATGTAAAGTTTTACCTGCTACTAGGCATGATAATTTTATATATCATATCACTTGAAGTATTTTGATGTTTCTTTATTAAATCATAAAGCTCTTGAACTATACATAATTCATTCCATAAATGTTTTGATTTCGACTCACTCCCAACAGATAGATCTTGCCGCTACAAATACAGAACTGCAGTAAATTGAATTAAATATGAAATAATCTTTCAAATGCACAATATACTATATGCCTATGTAAATTGTTGTATGGACTAACTATAAGAGTATGATAATTTTTTTATATGTAATATGAAACAACATAATTAAATAATACATCCACTGGTTATAAACTGAAATTTAAGTATCTTTCATATAAAATTTGAATCAGATCATACAATAATAAAATTTACCAGTATTGTCTTTCCTGATAATGGAATGGTCAATGATAATTCATTCCAATAAGCTAGAAGTTTCATTGGTGGGGGTACTGATAAATTTTCTTCATCAAAAGTTTCAATATCATTACTTCGTAAATCATACTCCACAGAAACATTAACAGTTACATCATTATATTCCAACTTATGTTGTTTAATGTAGTTTTCCAACAATACATTCAAGTTTATATCATTATATAAAACAGAAGGCTGTGAACAATAATAAAAAAATATTAATAATACTTTATTACAAACTATTGAAATCTATTTTTATCTACAAGTTATGCATGTACACTATTGGATATTGTTTAAAAATCAAGGGTTCAAAAGACTAATGAATAAACTACAACTAATAACTTGTGATGCTTGATCATAACATTATAAAACAATATTTTAAAAATATCATATTAAGTATTACTGTCCTAAAAATGGACAATGATGAATAATAAGTATTACCATTGGTTTAACACGAGCATTGAACCACCAACCATTAAGATGCCTCGATCCAAACAAAATATAATCTTTTGCATCAACCAAAAACCAAATCCATTGGTAATCATTTTGGTTGTTCCATTTTGATAAGAAATTGTTCATAATCAATCTATAATTAAAATCAAAATAATTATAAATTATTCAATAATTATTTGATGGGTCTAATTCAAAATTATAAAACTTATTATCTTTATATGAATAAAGAAATATAACTCCCGTTAATGATTGTGCTATAAAAAATATCAATTTTAAATTTTTATATATTATACTTAGCAAATTTTAACATTAAGATTTGCAAATTTAAAATAAGCAATTTTGAAAAAACAATTATTATTTTTTTTTAAGATCAACATACATTGAATCTTTCCGTAGCATAAAACCATGTTTTGCTTCACTTTTATGCCATAATTGAACTTTTGCTGCACTTTTATACTCGACCATGACATCATTGAAAGACTCATCTGCCAATTCTAATTTTAGTGGATTTCCATCTAGGCTTTCACTGGTTTGATTAAAGTCGAGAGTATCCACAGTAATTGATAGATCTTCTTCTACGTCGATCTAGAAAATCAAACTTAATAAATTATATATACAGTAGAATCCGCTTAGTATGACATCGAAGGGTCGCCGAAATCTCGTCATACTAACCGGTCGTCATTAAAAGCGTACTGAAGAAAAACTTTTTAATATGCAAATATGTTACATGTTTCAGTAATTCAAAAGAAAAGCCTATACAAACGTTTTAATTAAAAATAAAAATGACACATTAAAATTTAATATAAAATAAATTGACATAGGGTAGGGCGGGGGCACAACGGTCCAATTTGACTTACGGTAATTATACTGTCTAAACCCAGTGAACAACACATAACATACATCAAAGAAGCATCTATCAAACTATGTTCAGAAAAAACTTACATACATACGTACATAATTCCTAATTATATAAATATTATATTTTTTACTATTTTTTAAACATTTGGTATCTGACCCATTTTACTTCACATACGGGGTAAAGTGGAACAATCAGGGGGCGAACAGATGCAATTTCTTTTATTAAATTTTAAAGGCATTTTATGCTACATTATTGAACCAATGCAAAATATTAATTCTGTGGGTACATTTGTTACAAAGACAACACAGTATATTACATTGATCTGCTATTGGTCAGAAATATTCATCAGAAGAGCCTGAATAACAATTTATTCAATTAATCTCTTGTAAAATTGCTTTTTTTTTAAACTTTTCTATTTTATTGCTTACACCTTTGCCAAAGTAAAGGTTCAGCTGGTCCTTTTTATCGCACTCATGTGCTGCTTATCTTCTGATAGCAAAGTCATAAAAAATAAAGGTGATGGCTGGTTATGAATTTATACATTTTTCGCCCTCTACTATCAAATATAATTGTTAAATAAAATCTAATTTTATTTGTTTATGAGATATCCGTGGTGGGTCATTAATAATTAGTCTACCCTACCCATAAACATACAAATGTGTTTTTTTTAATGTAAGTAATCAGTAATTTTTGATTGATTTCTTTGCATAATTTTATTGTAAAAACAGTCCCTGGTGCTACTGTGCACAAAAGACATAGCAATTGCTTTTGTAGACTTGGTCACAACATGTAAAATCATGTCAGTCATTATAATTGGATATATTTTTTTGCAAAAATGGGTCATTATAAGCGACATGTCAATGTAAGCGAGGTCAATATATCCGACTAGACAGCTGTTTTTTTAAGGAATTTTATATGGAAATCAAATTCCTAGTGTGATTACGTCATATAAAGCGGTTGTCAATATATCCGGCGTCATACTAATCGGATTCTACTGTATATATATAATTTTTTTTTTGAAAATATAAATTTTATACATCTCAGACAGACGGAAGTGTCTGGTATCGTACAAAATATCTATACAATAGTATTATTTTGTACATGTCAATTATTGTATGTATATATGTATATATAATAACAACTATTTTTTAATATCTGAATTTATATTTGTATAGTGGTACTGAGCATAAAATAAATTAAAAAACAGATGTAAAGCAAGAAAGAAACATGAAGCACATCACACCTCATACAGGCACTTATTTAGATAAAATATTAAGCTATGCTGATAGCTAAATATTACATATACGAAAGATGATAGTTTATTATAAAACAGACATCAAACTCACATGTTTATAAATAAAATCAATTTGATTGTTGCCAATAAATTTCCTTAAGTATGTAGGACAATCCTTCTGACACGAAATGTCCGAAGGTATTTCAATGTTCGAAAATCCAGCTTTCTTCAACATTAATTTATTAAGATACTCCATATTTATTTTACCATCAAATCAAATTAGTTAATATTAAAAATAATGCAATCCGATTAAAAAACTGTCAAACTGTAAAGTCGGTTAACGAAGTGTCAATTTTAAACATACGAATGCATACGAACTTCGTTCGGTTGCGTTGCAGTAAGCCGCCATTAGATGCTGACACTAATTTGTCATAAAATTTTAAAATTTTCGATGTACAATGTGAAATGAGTGAAATTAATTAATTAAAAATTAAATAACATATAAGAAATACAAATTTGAAATATCTGCACAAGTATATACTTTATATAAATATATTATATTCTAATATTGTCTAGGAAGTGAGCCAAAGCTTTGTAAACCAGGGAATAGTTAACTGTCATTTATCTTTGTTACTTTTTTTATCAAATTTACATTCAAGATTGTATCAAAATTAAAAATTCCTTATATGAATAATGTGGTTAATTAATATATAAATTAATAGATATAAACTAGGTGTAAGTGAAATTTTTCGTTAACGCAAGTCCCATGAAGTTCCAATATATGTAAGTAATTGAATTAAATAATGAAAAACAATAGATACAATTTATGAGATAACAATGGTTAAATTTAAGTTTATGTAGATACTTTTGTTGTTAGAAACTATTGCAAAATATTCAGTTTTGTTCAAATCTTTGTCCATTTTCTATCTGATATCTTTCATTTTTTAACTTCAAAAAGTGCTAAAAATGTCAGCTTTTAGGAGAACGGATCAACTGATTTGAATGATCCATTCGATTAGTAATGATGATGAGAAGTGGTTATTAAATTTTGGCAAATGCAGGTCCAGCCATTTCGGAGATACCGAGCAAAATGTTCAAAAATGGCAGTTTTTGAGAGAACTAAGCATCCCATTTGAATGATTTAAAAAACTTTCTGCTTGCGTTGACGAAGCTAATTTTAACTAGCTGTAAGTGGAATTCTGTCTTGAGGCAATTATGGCATCGTGCCTTAAGGCAAATTGCTGGAACTTCCCGTACCGTAACGAAATGTTCGAGGAATACTGAATGTTTTCAAATAGATTAATTAAATATTGTAACATTGTGTAATATTTACAAGAATTATATAAACTGAATTGCAGAGTTGAAATTATTTGTAAAGTATATTAGAACTATAGTCAGAATTAAAATAAAATCTGAAATATTTTCGATATACAAAAAACTATAAAAAAAAAAAAAAAATGGAACAATGGAAAATTTTTTTTTTTCCAAAATCAATTATTTTGTTAAGACAAGCAGAAAGTTCTTTGAATCATTTAAATCGGACGCTTAGTTCTCTCAAAAACTGCCATTTTTTACATATTTAGCTCCGTATCTTCAAAATGGCTGGGCCTGCCTTTGCCAAAACTAATAAACACTTCTCCCAATCATTACTAATTGAATGTTTTTGAGATCATTCAAATCGGATACTCCGTTCTCTCAAAAATTCGATTTCTATTTTCTGCACTCTTTGCTCCGTATCTCCGAAACGGCTGGACCTGCTTTTGCCAAAAACTAATCAGCTCTTTTCCCTATCAATAGGAATCGAATGTTTTTTGAACCATTCAAATCGGTTGATCCGTGCGCCCTGAAACGTGACTGGAAATTTGTATCCATACATACATACATACACACACACACACACACATCCATATTTTCTGAGGTATGCCAAAACGTTCAGAAACCTTCAAAACGTTGAGAAATGTAAAAATTTTCAATTCCGATTTTTGGCCCATTACAATAACTTACCCTACGGGAAGTTAAAAATAAATTTGATTATCGAAAAATAATTCGGATTTTAATTCTAATTTTGGCTAAAATTCTAAACATCACTTATAATACTTCAAATAATTATAATAATTTATTTGAAAACATTTAATATTTCTCGAATTAAGGTACGGGAAGTTTCAGCAATTTATCTTAAGGCACGATGCCATACACTACTAGTTTCATTACAAATCGGTTCAGAATTTTTGTGATTTCCAATTGAATATCTTCAAATACATTTAAATTATCAGCAATTATATGCAGCACAACTTCTCTCTCCTAAAGTTGTAGCTTATTATTCCAAATCTCAATGAATTTAGTAGCTAAAAGGTATTTGGTCAGACCTCTCGAGAAATTGTTGCCAAAAACTTCAAATTTTTGAAATTACACACTTTTTCAAATTTAGTTTAACAAATTAGAATTACTTAATACGTCGAATATCGCAATTAATAAAATATACTGATCTGTTAAGTAGTAAAAATGTAAATTATACACACAAATAAGGCTTTCAGTTTATTTACACAAGCACGTTATTTAAATAAAAAACATCACAATTTAGATTCAAAGTTTCACCTAATAAATAATAAACAAAACACATTTTCAGTATTCGCTGCTATCGTCTTCATTAACGGTGTCCATTCCAACTTCTTCATAATTTTTCTAGAGCTGCCAGATCCTGGCGAGCTTCTGAAAACTCCTCCTCCTACCCTCTCCAACATACCAATGCACAAAAGCTCGCTTAGAATACATTAAATCAAATTTATGGTCTAATCTGGACCAAGCCTCGCGATTGCAGTCGTGTTTGCCAGCATGCATACTGCCCTCTGAACTTTTGCCAAATCTCCACTCGGTACCACCGTTGGTGGCTGGTAGTTGATGCCAACTTTGAAACCAGTTGGACACCAGTCTACGAATTGTATTGCGCGTTTAGATTTGATAATACTGATGGCAGCGTTGACATCCTTCGGTACAACATCTCCCCTATAAAGCATACAGCATGCCATATATTTTCCTTGGCGAGGATCGCATTTCACCATTTGATTGTTGGGTTCAAAGCATGCGCTTGTAATTTCTGCAACACTCATCTGTTCGTGATAAGCCTTTTCAGATGAGACTACTGGAGCGTAAGTGGCCAAAGGAAAATGTATTCTAGGATAGGGCACTAAGTTAGTCTGGAACTCCGTCAAATCGACATTTAAAGCACCATCAAATCGTAATGAAGCCGTAATAGATGATACGATTTGGCCTATGAGTCTATTCAGATTCATATAGGATGGACGATCAATATCTAAACTACGTCTACAGACGTCATATATAGCTTCGTTATCGACCATAAATGCAACGTCTGAATGTTCCAAAGTGGTGTGAGTTGTAAGGATGGAATTATAAGGTTCAACCACGGCTGTTGATACTTGAGGAGCTGGATATATTGCAAATTCTAATTTAGACTTTTTTCCATAATCACCAGATAGACGTTCCATTAGTAATGATGCAAAACCGGATCCAGTTCCACCACCGAAAGAATGGAAAATCAAGAATCCCTGAAATTATGGAAAAATTAATAAAATTTAAATAGTCGTTTATTTGAGAAAGTAGTTTTGAGAAAGTAGTTTAGAATATTTATCACCCTCAATGAAAGGTATTCCGAAATTAGATGTCTCATACCTGTAAACCAAGACAATTTTCGGATAGCTTCCTTATGCGGTCAAGGACGACGTCGATAATATCCTTTCCAATTGTATAGTGCCCTCTTGCATAATTATTTGCTGCATCTTCTTTACCATTGATGAGTTGTTCTGGGTGAAACAGTTGCTTATACGTTCCCGTGCGAATTTCATCTAAAAGTTTAAAATCGATGCAATGAGTTTTTATTTTTTATAGATTTAATATAATAAATCAACGTGTCACAATATTATAGAATTGTAATAAGGATAAATTTAATTGGATAAAAAATATCTCTAAAGCCTATGAAGCCATACTTTGTACTAAATTTTGCAAAATATGAAGAAACATTATTCATTTTGGTTTGTTATAGAATTTAACTAGTTGAAAGTGGCTTTTAGCCTTAAGGAAAATTGCATGAATGTCCCGAAATATGTAAGAATTAACTTAATCAATCGAAATTGAAATTTAGATACTTCGATACAATTTTCAACTGTTTATTTCAAAAATAAAGTTATTGCTTTCAATAATCTAAACATTGCGATTTCGAACATATTTTCTCAAACACATTAAAATTAATTGTAATTATATTAATTATTTTGCACAGACGCGTGCATGTACTTCCTAAAATTGTAGCGTATTGTTTTAAATTTTGAATTAACTGATAATGTTTGACTCATTACATCACAAAAGCAACTTTTGGACATAAGTTTTGACTATATATTTTTCAAACTTTGATGAATTTTTTAAAATTAAACTACTTGCCGTAAAAACGTAAAAATTTTGGTATGTTGTTCAGGACCATGATATCTATTAACATAAAAAGTTTCATCAAAAATTTTTTTCAACAGTTAATTACGAAGAAACGGCCGATCTTTGTCCAAAACTAATCAGCACGACTCCCAAATAATATCTTTCGAATAGTTTTAAAATTTTTAAAATCTGTTCAAAATTTTTGGCTAAAACGTGGACGGAAAATTTTTCACTTTTCTGCTAATTACAAATAAACGGCCCAGCTGATTGTATCAAAAATATAACCGACGCAAGTACTTACCAAGTTTCATTAATTGGATTCTAAGGTTTTAAAATCGACTTAACTGTTTATGAGAAAACGTCGATGAAATGTCTAATTTCGACAAACCCCAAAACACGCGACGAATTTTTTCAAACTTTGACGAATTTTCAAAGTTAAACAAGTTGTCGTAGGACCGTAATATTTTAGTATGATCTAGCAGATCATGATATCAATCCCCAAAAAAACATGAAAATCGTCAAAAAAAATTTCAACTGTTAATTGCAAGAACACGTGCCAGCGAATCTTTACTAAAAACTAATCAGCACAATTCCTAACCAATATCTTTCGAACGGTTTTTGAATTTTTAAAATCGATTCAGAATTGCGAGCTAAAACGCGGACGAAAATTTTCTGCTATTTACAAAAAAAAGGGCTCAGCCAATCGTCGCTAATAATTAGTATGATCTATAAGACTGCGGTATCTTCCATGAAAAAAAACTTCTCCTTCAAGAAGTTAATAAGATCTTTAGTACAAACCATAAAAATTCAAAATATAGCTAAATTATCCTCTTATCCTATCACGGATGGTTCCAAGTCCACCATAACTGATCTAGGTATATGTTTTCCTCCGGATGTTTCACTGAAAAATGTGCCGTAAGCGTCATCACCATTTGCTCTGCTTTTGTCTGATTGCATCCTGCCATCAGGCTGGATTCCATGTTCGAGGCAGTAAAGCTCCCAACAAGCATTGCCAATTTGGACACCACCTTGCCCGATATGAATCGATATGCATTCGCGCTGAAAAAATTACAAAAAAATAATTTAAACATATTTTTGAATTAATATTGTTGGTAATAGTATACCAAAGTAGTATATATGGTATACATGAGTTAAATGTTGCTTACAGAATCATAATGACATGTTTATGTCAACAAAATTAAATACCTAAAAATTTTTAAAAATCTTACCATTCTGAAACTGTTCTGGAATAAAGGCATCGCGATTAGTTTCTAAACGTAAATAGAATTTTGAAATAACAATTTAGAAAGAAGTTTTTAAAAAATCGAATACTAAAACGAATTTAGAACGATAAAATTTAGAACGTAAAAATTTAGAACGATTGTCTTACTAATCTGGATTTGAAATCACATGGCTTACTATAATTGTGCACTGAATGGATTGTGATAAATTGCAAATATCAAAGTTGGCTGGAACATATACGTCGAATCGAAATAGTCCATATTTTCAAATTTTCAATTTTTTCTGATGAAATTAAATATATATTTAAAATAATATATAGGATAAAGGGTATTTACTTAAAATTTCTTAGCATAATGCTAAAGTTCAAGTTAAAATCGTTTGCAAAATCTTTTAAAATTTTTAATAAAGAGTCAAAAATTTATAACAAACATTATTAATTTGAAGAGTCTCTGTTCAGTGATAGCTTTCGGTAACTAAATAATAATTTTTTCCTTTTACTTCTATGTATCTCCGAAAACTAGTACCAGACTTTTACAAATCAAATATTTATCTATTATAATCGTTTGAATCTTGATATCAGAATTTTGTATAATTTTATTTGTGTTTACGTGATTTTATAATACTAAATGTTATGCTAAAATTTACTGTGTGTGATTCTGCCGCATAACAAACCAATGTTTTGGCAAGGCTATGTCATGAAGAACTTTCCATACAAATTCGTGTTAAATATTGACAAAAGACATGTGGTGTCAGGCGATTTTATCAGATTGTTAGATAGAAAACATAACAAACTGCACAAATTTAAAAAAAAACTATGTTAGATAACAGAGTCTTTCTGACTCAGGTTCATAACATACGAGTGACGTTGCAGTTTATGTGTAAAACGCGTAAATGCGCAGCAAATACTGGACATTGGAGCGTAAAATGGCCTTGCCATAACATTTGTCTGTTATGCATCAGAATCCGTCCCACAATCTGCATTCATAACCAAAATTTAAATTTGTTTTTATGGCTTCAAAACAATTGTTTCGCAAGCAATTTACTTACTATTTAAATAAAATTTGCAGAACTTAATGTGGATAATCAATAAATAAAAATAGCTGTACATATTGTGTAAACAGCATACGCACATATATTCATTAAACTAAATACAAAATACGCAACAAAATCTCCATTCATATTACAGTTTTATATTTTTGTCTTCACTTTTTTTTTTCCAGGTTTTTAATAGTTTTCTTGTTTGCTGATTTTTAATGCTTTCATTCATATTTGACTTTTATGTATTTTGATTATACAATTTTTTTTTTAGAAAGTTTTAATATATGTTCATTCATTTTCTTTTTATGCATCGCGACAAATCGTTTGCAAACATCTTGTCTGTCCATTCAGTTAATGCAATGCTATTTCAGTTTTGGAGATGCTTTTCAGAATTCATATTTACGGCTGTAAAGGCCATCGTCCCGACAAGTGTCTAAAGCAACTTCTTCATAATCTTTTTGTAAGGTCGCTAAATCTTCACGCGATTCTAAAAATTCGTATTCTTCCATTCCTTCACCGACATACCAATGGACGAAAGCACGTTTTGCAAACATCATGTCGAATTTGCGAGTCAGACGACACCAGCTTTCGACAATAGCAGTGGTGTTGGCCAACATACAGACACCACGATGGACCTAAACACACCATTAATTAAAAAAAAAATTAATTACTGGTAAAGCCAGTAACAAAAAGTGTATTCTTTGAAGCAGTTTCTATAATCAATTTCATAAAATTACATTATTACCTTAGCTAGATCTCCTCCTGGTACAACAGTAGGAGGCTGATAATTAATACCAATTTTAAATCCTGTGGGACACCAATCTACAAATTTTATCCGTCTATTTGCTTTAATGCATTTTATGGCAGAATTCACATCTTTAGGAACTACATCTCCTCTATACAGAAGACAACAAGCCATGTATTTTCCATGCCTTGGATCGCATTTGACCATTTGATTACCTTGAACATTATCAGAAACAGTTCCACTTTTTTGTACAATGTATTTTATAGAATTCTATATTTTAAATATATGTTATTTATATTGTTTTTTCTACCTGGTTCAAAACATGCGTTTGTTATGTCAGCAACCCTAATTTCTTCGTGATATGCCCTTTCCGCTGATGTTATGGGTGCATATGTAGCCAAAGGAAAATGTATTCTAGGATAAGGCACTAAATTTGTCTGAAATTCGTTCAAATCCACATTCAAAGCTCCATCAAATCTCAAAGAAGCTGTTACGGACGAAACTGTCTGAGCAATAATACGATTCAAATTTGTATAAGTTGGACGGTCTATTCCCAAGTTTCGGCAACAAATATCGTAAATTGCTTCATTGTCAACAAGAAAAGCGGCATCAGTAATACCTAATGTGTTATGTGTTCCAACTACGGCGTTATAAGGTTCGACTACTGCAGTAGAAATCTACATTGAAGTAAAAATCAATTATAATAATTATGAGTTTTTCTAAAATAATGATCAAGTACCTTTGGTGATGGATAAATTGCAAATTGCAATTTAGATTTCCTTGGATAGCATACTGATAACTGTTCTGCTAAAAGTGTGGTAAAACCAGAACCTGTTCCTCCGCCAAGTGTATGAAACAAGAAAAAACCCTGTATGCAGTCACATCTTTCGACCAATTTTCGAAGCCTTTCTTGAACCAAGTCTATAATTTCTTTACCTTTGAGAGAAAAACAAATAAGTTTAGATAATTTTCATTGAATATTATAAAATAGTTTTACCAATGGAATAATGTCCTCTTGCATAATTGTTCGCTGCGTCTTCTTTACCGGTGATTAATTGGTCAGGATGAAATAAATGGCGATAAGTTCCAGTACGTACTTCATCTATAAAAAGGCATATATCACATTATTAATCAAGTACATATCTTAGAACGACATAAATTGACATTGAATTTTTACACATCACAAAAACTTTCTAGATAGGAAATTTCCTATATTTTCAACCATCATGAGCCTAAAATTTTGATTGAAAATTATATGATGGTGCAGTAACTTCTTAATTTTAAAAAATATTATTTCCAATTTCGACGAAGAGAATTTTTGATTCATTCACAATATATGTTATTTTGCCAACATACCAACTACTGTAGGTTCTAAATCTACGAATACGGCCCTTGGTACGTGTTTTCCAGCAGAAGTTACTGAGAAAAATGTGGAGAAAGTCTGATCATCTATATCTCGGTAAGCGGAACGAACTCTGAAGTCGTCAATATAGTCACCATCGGGAGTAATACCGTGTTCTAAGCAATAGAGTT